ATATCTTGATTCCCAGGGATGCCTTGGTTAATTGTAAGGTTGCTGAAATTTTCATGCTGACCGTTTTGGGTATTCAGATCGACATTCGAATCCTGGTTCATGTTTTGAGTGCCTCCCGGGTTCTCCACCGCATTCTGAGCCCTCGAAATACCATTAGGATTATTGATGACGACCCCTGGTGGATCAACATTCAGATTTCCAACCCCATTATTCAAAGCTTCAGCGGGCCTCACAATCATGGCCCTCATTTCCTCTTGTTGACGACCCATGTTCTGAATAATCTCCATCAACTGATCGACTCGAGTATCCATCCTGGTTCCCATAGACACAACATTTGCTTGAATCTGTTCCATTTATCTTTTGGTAGTGCTTCGAGTATTATAACGATGAGAATTCGTAGTGGCTATCTTCTGCAAAGGGGAGGCCCAAATCAAGGAATAAGAAGACCTGGCATAATTATTTCTCATATTATGATATGTATGAATCCATGATTGTGTATGAGATGTTATATCATTTCCAGGACACCCAAAGTTTTATTACCTCTAGGAATTTTAAACAACATGATAAGAGAGACAAATGGTGAGAAGAAATTTTGATAACAATTGGTCTCATTAAAAATATCATTCATATGATCCAATGGTAACTTCTTACCAGCCTGATTCAGAAAATGTAATGAAATCTAAATGACCCCATCCAACAAGACTGGTGGTGATCAAAAGACAAATAAAGCAAAAAAAGGGAGAACAAGATAATCAACGCGGTGGATCTCTAATCTCTGTGTAGTACAATGGTCCTCCTTGCCGGAAGTACTCTTCACTCCATTCCTTAGTTTCTTCGAATAATTTCTTTGTCTTTTCATGATCCCGTCCACGAGCGAAGCTATCAATTACCACATCTTTCCGAAATAGTTGTCCCTCCAAGTACACGCATTGCTCTAGGAAGAGATCACATTCTTTACATTCTGGAAAAGGTATAGGCACGAGCGCCTCTTCCATTTCCTTGATCTTGTCTCGGAGTCTTTCATTCTCTTTCATCACTTCAGTCATTTGATCTTCTTTTGCTTCCAACTCCATCCTAGCAACTTTAAATTGGTTTCCTAACTCCTTAACTTTGGCGTTGTTCCTATTGTTGGCCATCTGGAATTCAAAGTTTCTTGACGATTGTTTTCTGCATCGGCGAGGGCTATCTGATACTCTTCCATAGATACAAAAGAGTTTTCAGCTCTGGGTCGTTTTTTGGAACTACCCTCCCATTCATACTCTTTTAGCTGACGGGCCAAGTCCCTTTTCTTTTCTGTTAAGAAATATATTTCCATTTTTTGTCTTCTAGATTCTGGCGAAGGTCCCTATTTTCCAATTGTACTTGATAGAAGCGTTCCTTAGGAACATCGTGCTGTAACTCAGTGGGTTGAAGATACAAGGAGATTTCCTTTTCAAAAGGCAACATAAGAGTTTTGACTCTTTCCTTCAACCAATCCACGTAAGGATCGAAAGCTAACACCTCTTTTAACCTGAAGAATTCCTTTCCTTTCCTTCCAACATGTGCCCAAGCAATTTCCACCTTCTTTAACAATTCCGTATTTTCTCCTTTTTTGTAATACATAGGTTCGACCTCCTTGGTCGTGGGTGGAAGCCTCATGGCATAACCTAATTGGCGAAGAGCGAGTACTGGGTTGTAGTTGATAACTCCTTTTGTTCCTATGAGTGGAACATTAGAGAAACCTGCACAGTGGGAGATGATTTCGGTACTATCAGTCTTAAGTTTGTACCATTGGATATCGAAAGAAGTGAGTGTCATTACTTTGGATGCCCATGAACGAGGATCTTCTTTGAATGGCCCTTTGGTGGATAACTGTGCCATGAACCATTTGTAAAGCATTGGTATACAGAATACCACTACTCCTTTCTTTTCATGCCTAGAGTGGATGGCGTGGTAAGTATCTTCTAATAGTGTAGGTATGGGATTCTTATTCAGGAAGATGCAAAGAGAAGCCAAGTCTACAATTTCTTTAATCTCAGGGAATAAGACAACTCCGTAAATGATAGCAGCCAACATAGAATAATAAGCATCCCAGTTTCCTGCGTTTGCCATTTCCTTAGCCTTACTTACCAAGAAATCTACAGGAAGACCATAAGTAACTTTGTTACGTCTCCATTTCTCTTTTACATCGTTAAGGCTCAAGTAAAGAACCTTAGAAATGGCCTCATAGTCATGCTCAATAGAGACTCGAACAAATGGAACATGACTGGTGAGCTTAATGTGGAGAAGATGAGCATACTCCTCAAGAGTAGGTGCTAACTGGTAGTCTTGAAATGTGAAACAACGCAACTCCGGATCATAAAACTGTAACAAAGTCTGTACGGCCTTATCGTCAACCCGAGCATCCAAAAAAGATAGGAGATTCCCATATTTTCACCAAAAACGCCCATTTGTTGACAATTCATGAGGCCTCTGAGTTCTTCAAGAGAGGGCCAAATACTAGGAAGAAATTGATAGCTTAAGTTATCCCTCTTTGTCTTTAGGATGATATCAATGTTGTTTTCCATTCTTTAGAGGAAAAGGAAACCCTAGAGAGATCCTGTAAATGACAATGCGCATGCGAATTAACTATTGACATTTTTTTTTTTTGAAAAGTAAATATGTTATGATGTATGTGCAAATGATCATGGGGTTACTACTTCCATGATACTGATTCCTGTTGTACTGCCTCTTCATATTTTGTTAATACCAGGATTATAGGTCTGAAACATAACCGGAAGAAATCCATGAAGATCATAGTTGGAACCTCGAAAAATAAATCTGAGAACCTCATAATTACCGGCAGAAATCCAGGACATAATCATAAGTAACCGTCTGAATATAGTAACCAACTGTACCTGTGATAAGAATTCCCTTCCCACTCATGGGTGAAGACTAGGTTAGGGTAAGGCAAAGGTAACTCGAAAATCACGGGTTCGTTTGAAAGTAGAATCATCGCAACACAGACGTGCATGATGAAAATACCTTCAATTGAACCTCATCTGAGCGTGGTATATGACATGATTGCACTAATCGGACCACGTCCTAGAGTCGTCATGTCCCCACTCTATTCATAGTGTCCTAGTACACTCTAGCCTGGGTACTGGGCCTTTTACCTCAATAGTAACATCCCCACCCAAACAAGAAGCGGATCCAATATAACAGTAGTATATGGAAGACAGTAAGATGCAAATGCATAAATATGCTCAAGTATGAACGAATAAACTGAAAGCCTAAAAATAAACACCCAAAGAAAGGAAAGCGAGAGCTAGGAGCGACTCTGGGATGGACCAGCATTTGGTCAACCATTGTCCCCAGTGAAGTCGCCAGCTGAAACAACCGGCAAAAAATCATCAAACAATGAAATCGCCATCGAACGTTTTTTATCCCACAGGAAGGGAAAGGTAAACATAGAGAGAACATGAGAAGGGAGAAGTCACAGTCTTGCGACCGAGAGATCGGGTAAGGGAGTCTGTTACACGAGGGGAAGGTATTAGCACCCCATACGCCCGTAGTACTCTACGGTATCCACTCTTGTTATCTATCTTATGGGTGTATTCAATCTATGCTTACTGTTTACTATACTACTGAAGGGAGAATGCATGCAAAAGAAAAGAGAAAAGAATGTAGGAAAAATAAAAGTTGTGCTCGCTCGGGCCCTACCCCAATGCCTACGTATCCCTTTTAAGGAATCAGAGCAGTCGTAGTTCGGCTCATATGTATTTGTTGGTTTGTATTTTTTAATGAACAATATTAATTTCGCCTTCTGCCGCAACTCGACCTTTGGAGACTTACGCGTCAGTACAGAAGTGAATTAACATGCTCTTTTAAAGAAGTTTTGGAGAAAAGGTGCTTGAGTGCACAAAAAGGTTTGAATGGGTTTGCGTTTTTTAATGAACAATATTAATTTCGCCTTCTGCTTCAACTCGACCTTTGGAGACTTACGCGTCAGCACGGAAGTGAATTAACATGCTCTTTTGAAAAGAGTTTGAAAGAAAAGACCAAAGGCGAAAAGAGTTTGTATTTGTTGGTATTTTTGCTGGTAGGTAACATCTAGTTAACCTCAAGAGAGAGATTTTAGCCATTTCTCTACTTATTCATGAAATAAGTCTTTGAGACTTGAACCACACCAAAGCTTAGAATAAGAGAACAATAAGGTCGAGAAGAAACCCGCTTATCATCTCTCATACTTAACAAAGATATGATTCTCGCAGTAAAATTTTTTTAAAGTATTTTGAAGTTTGTAAGAAAAAGAAGTTTTTTTTTGTTTTCACGCAAATGCAAAAGAAAGGACAACATCTAAGGGAGACTAGCCTAAATCTATCCCTAATGTTATCATACAATGATCAATCCTAAGGTTGAGTTTTGAAGGGAAATCTCTACCTAATGTTAGCATGCATGGTTTTAAAAGCCTAATACCTAATCTTAGTTCAATTAAATCGAAGATTAAATTTGACCCAAATTTTCCTAAAGAATCATGAAAGAATATACGAACAAGTAAAATTAGGCAGCAGGTATCAAAGTATCACATATAATTCATACCAAAAGTTGCAAACGAGGTACATGACATAAAAATGAGTAAAATTAATGCTTAAAATTGAAAAGAAAAAAAAAGATAGAAAAGTGAAAGGAAATCTCTTTTATTTACCAATATCACTAAAGCAATTCAATCACTAAAATTAATCGCAAACGCAATCGAAATGACTATTGGAAATAAGACCTTAGGAGGTGCGAACTGAATTCAATATGTGCTGCAAGCAAAAATGCAATGACATTAGGCCCATCAAAATAGACACAATCAGCAGAAAAAATAATCATAGGGTCCAGGAATTGGTTGGTTCGGCCCATGTCAATCATTCTTAATCATATTATTATTTTATTTATTTGTTGAATTAAAATATAAAAAAATGATAATAAAAATACAATAGAATAAACCGGTTTAGAAAAAAAATAGGAAAAGGGACAATTAGGGATCCTAGACGATGTCGCCTCCTTGTCTCTGCGACGACGGCTTCTCCTCTTCTTTTCACCGGCCCATCTACCTCATCGATTCACAATGGATTCCACCTTCCTCATCATCGCCAACCCGTCTCGCCCGCAACAAGCTCTTTTCAACGATTCAATCCACTTTCACTGATTCAATTCTCTTTCCAACATCTCTTCCAATCTCCGATCGAACCTGTAACATAACGCAAACAACATCGTGCACACTATAAAAGGAGAAAGCGTTTCGGTTTACCTTCCGTTTTTATTTGATGAAGAATGACGAGAAAACTAATTGAAGTCAGGTACGCGTTTCGTAAAGACTTTTCTCTCTGATCCACACTTCTTCTCTTTCTACGTTTTGAGTTTGTAATCTGTGATCGTTGAACTAGGTAGTCAAGGATTTCTAGAGAATTGTTGTTGATGCAGAATGGACGGTAATGATGATGATTTTGTGGAAGATGATCCGAGAAGGATAAGATTTGCAGAATAGATACGTGGTGTTAGTGTTGATAAAGTTTGAAGAAGAATAAGAAGATCAGAAGCTGTGGATGATTGAAGAGGGAACTCAAAGAATTCAGAGGGTAGAGGAAAAGAGATGAAGGAGAGCTCCCCGGAATTGAGATACAAAGCTGTTGGTTAGAAAAGTTAGTTAGGGATTGATTTCTGTTAGAAATTGTTAAGAGTTAGTTTTAGGAATTAGTTGAGTGGAAATCAGTTATAAGTTAGAAGGTTCTAAAAATTTGTTGCTTTCTTGTTTATGCTGAATGAATGATCCTCTTCCTATTATATTTCTTATTACATTCTGTTATCCTCCTCTTTTTTTCTGTTGAGAAGCAGTTGGAAGTTAGTTTGGATTCTGTTTTGACAGTTAAAAAAAAGGTTAGAAGGAGTTTTGTTAGTTAAGTGGTTAGAAACTGTTATGAAATTAGTTAGGTGGCTTAGACGATAGGATTTCTGTTAGGCAAATAGACCTCTTCTGTTTGGACGGTTAGGAGATTTTGAGTTGGCATTATTTTCAAAACGTGGAGATACTGACTCAGTTCTTTGTGTGTTGGTCTTTATTTTAGAATAATTCTGTCATGGTTAAAAAAAAGTTAGGAAGCTTTATTTTTGTTAAATTGATGGTGAGCTAGAATACTACGAATTTTATTCTTTCTGATTTCTGTTAATGAGTGCAATAAGCCATTAATTTTGACTTTCTTCTATTTATGTACTTATAAGTGAAAGTTTCTTCAAGTTATGATTTGAGTATTGATATCTGACCATCTTCAGCACAAACGTTCTTCCCTGATATTTCTTTTGTTGACTGAATTTCGAACCTTGCATATGCCTTCTCAGTCTGGAACTTACTATTTCAACAGCAAAAATGCAATGCATTCAACTCAACTTCCTTGAAGTGATCAAGTTCATACTTGAACTGTTGCTCGGCTTTAGACAGTGATCTTTTGTAAGCATCAGATAAGTTCCTTAAATGTTGTAAATGCTTTTCCCAGAATTGTGCATTTGAATTGCACCATCAATTCTCTTCTGTAATAGGTTTATTATGAATTGGCCCTTGATTGAATGATTTGATTATGTCTGAAACAGGGCTACAGGAGCGTTTGAAGATGGCTCGGAATTGGAGTCAAGGAAGTTTGAGAAGACGACATGAGGCGCTAGCCAAAGCCAATCAGTCTGCATTCTGTGCTAAATGAGAGGGAATTTGGAAACGGATGATTGACATGAACATGGAATGAATGATGTTAGGATATTTAGAATTTTAGGTTTAAAAAAAAAGTTTGTGTAGTACATTTTTGTATGATGTTTAGACATACCAATCATGGTTTCTTTTTTTGTAAATTGGATTTGTGATTTGTAAACAATAAACATCGTAAAACTTGAGTGGTGAAGGCTATACTTGGTATTTGAAATTGAATGGGCTTGTGATATTCAAAGACAAAATGAATGGATACGCTGAATTCCTTGCACCTTGAGTCATGATGAACTTTTCTTTCATAATTCCAGGCACTCCATACTTGCGGATTCTGACCTCATGGCACTAAGTAGTCATCGTGATGGATAATTCACAATGGCGAAATCGAATCAAATTCAAATCTTTAAATCAAAACTTCAATCTTGAATCCAAATCCACTTGTATGATAAGTAATTTGAATAGACAATAAGATCTCGATCCTAACTAATTCACAACCTTGCCTTTTTGTATTGTGACTCATATTTCCCAATTCAATCCACAAATCTTGACAAAGTCCTTCCCTAATTGACGACCTTGAATTATCAAAGATGAACATAGAAAATAGTGAAAGAGTATGATTAAGATCAACATGAAACTTTATTCCCCTACTCTTCAATTACTGAACATTTATCAACGAATAGAAACCCTGATTCTTTGGCCTGACGTAGGGAAATAAACCCTAATTTCTAGAACTGAAGAAACTGGATGGAGAAGAAATCCAAAAATGAGCATGCTAAAAAACCCTAACTCCACAATCTTGTACACCAGGAAGACCCTGAATAATCAGGCTCATTCAACCCATACACCCCAAATCAGTCATAAACCCTATATTCATAGCAACTAATATTTTGAACCTCAGATGCTCTTTTGAATGCAATGCATGCTACGTTAGTGACCTATTGGAACGATGCAGGTGAATGCAAAGTCTAAACCAGAATAAAAGAAATTAGGAGGGCAAATTTTGGGGTGCAACACGGACTAGCAACAAGTGTGTGCTCGATAATCTTGAACAGATGAGAGTATCCTTCCGGAGTTGGAACGATCTGATAGTCCTGAAGGGTAAAACCGCGCATCTCATAGTCGTAAAACTGAAGTAGAGTTAAAGCACCATCATGTCTTTCAATAAAAATCTCCGTATTAGGACAGACTAAACGGTCTTTTAAAATATTCAAAGAAGGCCAACAACTTGATCGGAAAGCTTGAGTAACACTGATAAGTACAATTGTCCCTCTTGGCCCTCTTGAGAACATCACTGTTGCTAGACGTTATTGACGGAAACTGTAACTTCGTGAAGTAACCCGGAATGGACATGCACATGCAGGGTTAGTATATAGTTTACTTTTCTAACATTTCTTTTGAAAAATAAATATGGTATGATGTGGTGAAAATGATCATGGGGTTACTACTTCCATGATACAGGTTTCTATTGTACTATTTCTGCAGTCTGTGAGTACCAGGATCATAGGCCCGAAACATAAACCAAAGAACCTCACGAACGAATTCGGAACCCAGAAAATAAATATGAGATTCTCCTAGTTACTGATAGAAATCCAGGACATAACCAATAGGCCCAATAGTCATCGTCTAATCATAGTCACCATATGAATATGAGTAACCATCTGAACATAGTCACCAATTGTACCTGTGATAATAATTCCCTCCCCTCTCACGGGTGAAAACTAGGTCAAGGTAAGGTCATTGTAACTCAGAATCGAGGGTACTCCTGAAAAACTATCGCCGTATCACCTACGTGAAAACGATAGCACCTCATTTGTACCTCATCTGAGCGTGGACGACATGGCGGCAATAGTGAGACCTAAGTCAACGAGCCGTTCATGTTCCACTCTATTCCTAGGGTTCCTATGGTATACAACTCTGGCCTGGGTATTAGGCCTTTTACCTCATAGTAGCACCGACCCAATAAGAAGCAGATCCAGTACAACAGTAGTATATGGAAGACAATAAACTGCAATGCATACACATGCTCAAGTATATACAAAATGAGTGAATAAACTGAAAGCATAAAGATAAACACCCAAAGAAAAGAAAGAAAGAGCTAGGAGTGACTCTGGGATAGACCATCATTTGGTCGACCTATCCTCAGTGAAGTCACCAGCTGAAACAATCGGCTTAAAATCATCAAACAATGAAGTCACCATCAAACGTCTTTTATCCCACATGTAGGGAAAGGTAAACATTGAGAAAACCTGAGAAGGGATAAGTCACGGTCTTGCGACCGAGAGATCGGGTAAGGGAGTCTGTTATGCGAGGGGAAGGTATTAGTACCCCACACGGCCGTAGTACTCTATGGTATCCACTCTTGTTATCTATCTTATGGGTGTGTTTAATCTATGCTTATTGTTTACTATACTACTGAAGGGAAGAATGCATGCAAAAGAAAGGAGAAAAGAATGTAGGGGAAATAAAATTGTGCTCGCTTGGGCCCTACCCCAATGCCTACGTATCTTTTTTTAGGAATCAGAGCTATCGTAGTTTGGCTCACATGTTTTTGTTTGTTTGTTTGTGTCTTTTATGGACAATGTTAATTCCGCCTTCTGCCGCAACTTGACCTTTGGAGACTTATGCGTTGGCACAGAAGTAAATTAATCATGTCCTTACTTGAAAAGGGTTTTAGAGAAAAGGTGCTCGAGCGCACAAAAATGGTTTGAATTGGTTTGTGTTTTATTACCTTGAAAAAAGGGGTTTAAGTGAGATTAGCATGTTTTTGATTTGCTAAGAAAAAGATTTTTGTTTTAGATGCAAGGATGCACAAAGGGGAAGAAAAGAGTCTAAGGGAGACTAGCCTATCTCTAACCTAATATTATCATACAATGGTAGTCCTATGTCAAGGATGAAAGGGGAAGTTTCTACCTACTGTTAGCATGCATGGTTTACAACCTAAGGCCTAACTTGCGTCCGAACGGAGCAAGCGCATCCTAAGGGAACATGGTATGTACAAGGATAAAGCAAACAAGCCAGTAAACTCGAGAGAGCACACCTAGAGAGATCCTATCTAAGTTAGCATGCCAAAGAAAGTCTAACAAAACTATCCTATAGAGAACATGCAATGAGAGCGAAGTCGTGATCTCAATTTCTAAATTTAGTGACTCATTGATAAATAAGAAATAAAGGAAAGCGATAAAATCCTATAGGGAGCATGCACTGAGAGCGAAGTAGTGATCCCAATTCCTAAATTGAGTGACTCATCGATCAACAAGAAAGTAAACAAACATAAGCACAACACATATAGCAAATGAAGTGCAGAATGCCTGCTACAGGTCTTTAAACAGCGACTTCGAGCGCACGCTCTTTATTTCCTACTTCATATGATATCTAGAAAAGCGGTAAATAAGCATAATAAAGCGCAAAGAAATACGAAGGTAATAGCGGTGACTACCAAAGTGAGCAACTCGTCAAGAGTAGACGAAAGCACTGAAAAAGTAGGGAGCACGCGTCGAGCAAGCTTTACCAAGAATAAACAAAATCAGAAATAATATCCAACTAAGATAAAGGCAAACGCGTATTGCAAATGCAATGCATAATCAGAAGTTCCTTGCACAATGAACAAATGCGTCAAAAATACTATAGCAAAGCGACATGAAAATACGGATGACAACTAAAAAGAAAAATTATTTTTTTATTATTTATTCATATGAGGAAAATTCTATCAAAAACTAAAGAATTAATTTCTAAAATCAACTAAAAAATCTAACAAGTTTTATTGATTGTAATTTTTTTTATCATAAAAACATATAGAAAGAATTAAGGGAAGGTCCTAAATCTAACAAGAAAATAGAATGATCATGGGGAGGGTTAAGCTGGATCAGAGAGTGCAGTAAATCAAGCATAAGTTGGCACAGAGGCCTAACCATTAAAGTCTAATAAACTATCTTTGTACACTTGACTTCAGACTCCAAAAACAATGGCAGCATGGGCCTAATGGAGGTACAATTCTGAATTTTGTTCCAAACCCAATGCATCGGTCCATTTCACAACAATCAGTCCATGATTAAGCTTTTATTCCAGTTTTAACCTTATTTTACTATATTCGGTATTATTGTTTTGAAATATTAAAATAAAAATTAAAAAATCAAGAAGACTATGGAACGGCGTCATATTGGTTTGTGTTAGGGTTAACAAGCCATGTGACCTTCTCAAAACACATCCTTCGTCTCTCTTTCATCTCTTCGTCAGAAATTTCTCCGCCGCACCGAAGGCGGCGAAGCTTCACCGTTCCCTGAAATTCCTACATCGTACTCTTCGTCTCTTCTTCCTCTTCCTAGATCTCTGCTTAGTTTCCCCTAAATCTAATCAACTACCAAAAACCCTAGCAAATTTAAAATAAAATTAATTGCTAAAGGTTGAATCTCAAGCCATGAAACCTTGGGGGAAGTGTTCGGGAGACTGTATTCTACATCGAGGTAACGTGATTTAAGCAAAAAAAAGATGAAGGAAGAAGGACGTTGATGGACCAACCTACGGAACAGAGATGTGTTCTAGTGAGTGTTGCAAAGCGCTCACGGATGATGTTAGAAACTCAGAGAACTTCAATAATGTGAAGGTAATATTAAGCGTCCATTATTATCTCTTTTTCTTTCTTCTTCCTTCTCTCTTTCTTCTCGCTTCTGCGGTTTCTCTGTGTATGCATCACTGTTATTGTTGAGAGGTTGCTCTGTCCTAGTTCAAAGCAGTGTGTGAAGTCGAATTTGAACAGAGAAGAAAATTGATGTGGTTGTGGATTTTGATATTGTTGCAATCTTGTTGCAGATTCGCAGAGATGATGATGACGGAAACATTGCGTTGGTGTTATTGCTGTAATCGTGAAGCTGATGAGGGTGATTATGGAGTGAAGAGAAAGAGTGAAGGTAATGATGGTTGAAGTTGCAGAAAGCTCTGAAGATGATGATTTCAGAGAGACAAGAGATCTTCTTTGGTGGTGATTCTTCTCTGATTTTTAGAATG